TCATCTGCAAGCAGAGACAGTTTGACTTCTTCTGTTCCTATTTGGATGCCCTTTATTTTTTTCTCTTGAATGATTGCTCTGGCCAGCACTTTCACTACTGTTTTGAATAAGGGTGATGAGAGAGGGCAGCCTTGTCTTGTGTCAGTTTTCAAGGGGCAAAAATCTTCCAGCTTTTGCCCATTCAATGTGATATTGGCTATGCATATGTGAAAGATGTCTGTTATTATTTTGTGGTATGTTCCTTCAATACGTACTTTATTGATAGTTTTTAACATGAAAGGGTGATAAATTTTATCAAAAGCTTTTGCTTCATTGATTGAGATAATCATATGGTTTTTGTCTTTAGTTTTGTTTATGTGATGAGTCACATTTTTTGATTTGGATATGGTGAACCAACCTTGCACCCCAGGAATGAAGCCTATTTGATCATGGTGGATTAGCTTTTTGATGTGCTGCTGGATTTGGTTTGCAAGTATTTGGCTGAGGATTTTTACATAGATGTTCATCAGGGAGATTGGCCTGAAGTTTTCTTTTTATGTTGTGACTCTGCCAGGTTTTGGAATCAGGATGATGGTGGCCTTATAGAATGAGCTAGGGAGGAGTCAATCCTCTTCAATTTTTTTGGATACTTTCTACAGAAATGGTACCAGTTCATCTGGTAGAATTCAGCTGTTAATCCATCAGGTCCTGGGCTTTTTTTTTTTTTTGGTTTGTAGGCTACTTGTTACGGATTCAATTTTGGAGCTTGTGGCTGGTCTATTCAGGTAATCAGTTTCTTCCTGGTTTAGTCTTGGGTGGGTGTATGTGTCCAGGAATTGATCTATCTCTTCAAGGTTTTCTAGTTTGCATGCATAGAGATGCTCATAGTAGTTTTTGGTGGTTATTTTTATTTTTATGCGGTGTTAACATTCCTTTCATTCTTTTCTAATTTTCTTTGAGACAGAGTCTTGTTTGTCACCCAGGCTGTAGCACAGTGGCACCATCTTGGCTCACTGCAACCTCTGCCTCCAGGGTTCAAGAAATTCCCGTGCCTCAGCCTTCTGAGTAATTGGGATACAGGTGTGTGCCATCATGCCCAGCTAATTTTTGTACTTTTAGTAAAGATAGGGTTTTACCATGTTTGTCAGGCTGGTCTCAAACTCCCGGCCTCAAATGATCTACCTGCTTCAGTCTCCCAAAGTGCTGGAATACTGGTGTGAGCTACCACACAGAGCCTCATAATTTTTAATTGTGCTTATTTGGATATTCTCTCTTTTCTTTTTTATTATTCTAAGAGGTGGCCTATCTATATTATTAAAGTTTTCAAAAAACCAAGTCCTGGAATCATCGATCTTTTGAATTTTTTGTGTGTCTTGATTTTCTTCTGTTCAGATCCGATTTTGGTTATGTCTTGTCTTCTGCTGGCTTTGGAGTTGATTCGTTATCGCTTCTCTAATTCTTTTAGTGGTGATATTAGGTTGTTAATTTGAGATCTTAAATCAATCTTATGATTTATTCAGAAATATCCAGCTCATATACTTACAGTTCTATTCAGTAATGCAAAATGTCAAAAACACTCACGTTATTCAAAGGAAATGTTAAGGAGCTAAGGCTCACTCCAAGTTCCTTCAAAACCTGGTCAGTCCTGTGTTTTGAGTGGCCTTCATGTCGCAGCCTGTGTCCTGCCAGGCTCTGTGAGACCTGTCCCACTTCATGGAATGTGAGTCAGCAGCTCAGAGAAAGACAAGGACATCTGCACGATTGGCTTGAAATATTCATCTGTTCAAAATTTTATTTTTATACATATAAATATGTATTCTTAAAATATATTTTTGTTTCTCTATCCGAACAGAAGTGCAATAATTCTTTAAAAAATATTTCTAAACAAATGATAATGAAAGCAAGAAACTGAAAACAATTACAAACAATGAATGTAATCATTAGTTTATTCTACTTTATAGTGTATGTAAATTTGGTCTAGAAAATACAACATAAAAGGAAATAAGTAAAACCAAACGTTGAGCATTACTAAAGTAAAAATGTTGAATGGTATACTGTATTATTTATTTATTTATTGAGATATGGTCTTACCCTGTTGTCCAGGCTGGAGTGCAGTGGCATGCACATGGCTCGCTGTAACCTTGAACTTTCAGGCTCAAGCTGTCCTCTGACCTTAGCTTCCTGAGTAGCTGGGAGTAGAGGTGCATGCCACCATGCCTGGCTAACTTAAAAAATATATATATTTTTTATAGAAACAGGCTCTCACTATGTTGCCAGGGCTGGTCTCAAACTCCTGGGCTCAAGGGAGCCTCCTGCCTCTGTCTCCCAAAGCACTGGGATTACAGGTGTAAGTCATCATGTGTGGCCTGACTGATATGCTTTAATTATGTATCTAGCACACGAGTTTCAAAGTTTTCACTCTCCAGGAATTTTCATAAGGTCAGTTTAACTATTAATAGCATACAATTATAGAATTAATGCATAAATACAGTAAAACAAAATAAAATGTATGAAAATACAAATTCATATTTCATACAGAATTGTATGAAATAAAAAAATAAGAATATTCCTTCTTTTCTGTCTCTATACATTTTTCTTCTTTACCATGTTCAATATATCTTTATTATTATGATGAAAAATTTAAAAGCATATCCAAAAGGAAATAAATAGCATAATGAATGAATAGTGTAATGAACTCATGAACCTAGTACCCTGCTTCAGTTTTGGACAGTCTTGATTTCTCTGTTCCAACTTTCCCGACACTGATGAATTGAAGAGCATTTCTGGCATCCTCTCATTTCATCCATGAATATCTTAGTATCTATCTCAAAGTGTAAGGATCCCCTTTTTAAACCAATTCATCTAAAAAATTACCCAGAATTACTTACTTTTAACCAAAATCCAGCCACTGTTTGAATTTCTCTGATTGTCATATATATACATACACACACACACACACACACACACACACACACACACATATATATATATATATATATATATATATATATTTTTTTTTTTTTGAGACGGAGTCCTGCCCTGCCACCCAGGCTGGAGTGCAGTGGCACGACCTCTGCTCACTGCAGCCTCCCCTCCCAGGTTCAAGTGATGAGATTATCTTGCCTCAGTTTCCCGAGTAGCTGGGATTACAGGTGCCCGCCACCACACCCAGCTAATTTTTTGTATTTTTCGTAGTTACGGGGTTTCACCATGTTGCCTTGTTGGCCAGGCTCGAACTCCTGACCTCAAGTGTCCCCCAAAAGTGCTGAGATTGCAGGTGTGAGCCATGGTGCCTGACTAGCCTTACATAATTTTTCACACCATTTTTCTCTCTTTCTTTTTCTTTTTCTTTTTTTGTTTAAAGCAGAATGCTTGTATGGCTAGTACAATGGATTGCTGAGTCTCTAAAGCATCCTTCATTCTTATTCTTCCCCTTCCATCTTTTTTTCATGCAATTTGTTAAAGAAACCAGGACAGATTCCACAGTGTACATTTTTATGACTGTGTCATCGCTGTGGTGTCATTTAACACGCTGCTCTGACCCAAGTATTTTCTGTGAAACCCACAGGTCAAAGGTGTTTGGCAGATTTGTTTGCTTCAGGGTTTGTGTTGCCAACACTCAAACAGGACCTGCTAACCCTCCCCTTTAGCAGTTCGTAACTATTTGCTTGATTTTGACTGAACGCAAGAGGGCAGTGCAGGTGGACACCAAAAGCATTGGTGTCAACACACAGAGGCGTGTGGTCACAGGGATCCTGCACTGTCAGCCCAAAGTTCCCTTCTCTGCTCCCAAGCAACCTCTTTGCCTCCTCTGAAGCACAGCCACATACTCTAGGTCCTAATCTCTGGGTGCTCTAAGGACCAAGAGGTGCACGAGCACCAAATGTGAGAGGACAGGAGTCTAGAAACACAGCAGAGGAGTCTTCTCAGAACCTTAGGGAATTCCTACTGTTGTGAGGGTAGGAGAAGAATGCCTAGCTAAGGAAACAAAGATATATGTCCAATGTGAGTAAGTGCCATGAGTAAGAATGAAGCAGGGAAGGACAAGCGGGTGGACAAAGAAGCTCTCATTGGTAAAGAGACATTAGAGCACACTTCTGAAGGTGGCAAGACAGTCAGCCTTTCAGATACCTGGAGCAATCTTGTTGCAGGAAGAGGAAAGAGCAGGTGCAAAGGCCCTGGGGCAGGAACATGCCAGTTGTGTTTGAAGTGGGCAGCAAGCTGTTGTAACTGGAACAGAGAGAGAATGGGGAAGATGGTAATGAATAAAATCTGAAAAGCAACAGATTTTGCATGATTTTTAGGCAATTATAAGGACTTTGGCTTTTACTCCTGTGAATCGGAAAGCTATGTGGCGAGGGGCGAGGCGGATGCTTTACCAAGAGGAGCGATACTCTCTGACAATTTTTAAAGGATCACTCTGGTTGCTGAGTTACAAATAGATAGAATGTGTCAGCTGGGAGACCAATGGGAAGGTAATTGCAATCATCTGGGGTAGCTGCGGCAATCTATCTTAGAAACTTGCATGGTTCATGCTTTTTATTTTAGGCAAGCTCGTCAGCATTTACTTTTCAGATACTTAATGAACCTTTCAGTCTATTTAGAAAATAAGGCATGTGCCTAAATGATCAGCACCCAGTAGTAGAAAATGGAAAGCCATGAGTATAGTAACAGGCGCCCTTGAGGGCAAAGTGAAGTCAGGAGAGGAAGGGACTGCAGCCAGTTTGGCAGGTGAGAATGGCATAGGACAGAAAGGCTTTCCTTGAGATGGTCACCAATACAGTCTTGTCAGTTTTCACAAATAAAACCTTATAAATTTTCACTAATAAAATGCTACAATGTACCCTATACCATAAGTCAATTTAAAATAGGTTTTACTCCAGTGAGGTAGGTTATCTGTAAATAACACAGTGGTCAAATCCCATATAAATGAGTAGCAAATACTTTCTCGGTGTCCTGCTGTTTTTAATCCAGTGCATTCCACCAGCCTGGCCTAGGCTAGGGCCGATACCCATGTAGTCATGGGCGAGGGCCTCTCAAGTGCCCAGCCCAATGGACCACCTGAGGCAGAGCCACGGTCTCCTCAGTCCCCTGCCTTGATGGCCAGCTTCATCTTCTCCAAGGGCACTAAGAAGCTGCAGCTGGAGTGGCCCGTGTCCCCCAAGACCCAGGCTCACCTCCAGCGGAATCTGGTGGCTGAACTCCGGAGCATGTCAGAACAGCGGCCATCAAAGAAGTCACCTAAGGCTCCCCCGCCTGTGGCCCGCAAGCCGTCTGTGGCAGTCCCTCCACCCGCCTCCCCCAGTTACCTCCGAGCTGAGCCCCTTATTGCTCCTCCCGCCAACGGGCTCCCCCACACACAGGACAGGACTAGGGGAGCTGGCAGAGAACGGAGGTGTCGTGCAGCCGGTGGGCCCAGAGGAGAAGATGGGCCTCCCAGGCTCAGACTCACAGGAGGAGCTGGCCTGACCACCAGGCACCTCACTGGCCCTGCTGACCTATCCCAGAAACACAATCTCAGGGACCCGAGCAGTTCCAAGGACCTGGATACAGCAGACACAACCTAACAGAGAGGGCGCCTGCAGCCTTAGCTCCACGTGCCTTCGATACTTAGCAAGCCTGGTGTTGCTCCGGTCCTCCCAATCATCCCGCGCTCATGGCTTTTACCGAATGGGTTCACCTCCGGCAGTTGCCGCTTCAAAAAGAAAAGAGAGAGGGAATTAAGAAATTCTCATAAAGCAAGTTGCTGCTTTAAGAGTTATCAGCCAAGTTTCACTAGAAGAGTTTCAAACACAAAGTTACAATAAAATGATTATGGAGAAAATAAATTAGATCGATACAGCTGATATATATGATGGTAAACAAAAGGAAAAACGGAGTAGAGCAGTAAATCGAATTCTACTTTGTTGTTTATTTGGAAAGGATTTATCTTATCTTTAAAAATACTATAATGGGAATTTTGGTGACTTCTAGGCTAATTACTTTCTTTCTTTTTTTTTTTTTTTGAGACGGAGTTTCGCTCTTGTTACCCAGGCTGGAGTCCAATGGCGCGATCTCGGCTCACCGCAACCTCCGCCTCCTGGGTTCAAGCAATTCTCCTGCCTCAACCTCCTGAGTAGCTGGGATTACAGGCACGCACCACCATGCCCAGCTAATTTTTTGTATTTTTCAGTAGAGACGGGGTTTCACCATGTTGACCAGGATGGTCTCGATCTCTTGACCTCGTGATCCACCCGCCTCGGCCTCCCAAAGTGCTGGGATTATAGGCGTGAGCCACCGCGCCCGGCCTAGGCTAATTACTTTCTGAAGAGCTCATGATAGTTCTTATTCATTTAGTGTATTCAAACAACACTTTATTTCATAATTGTTGAGGGGGTACAAATGTAAGTCTTGGAAGAATGATATAATCATTAGAAATACATCAAGGAATAAGTACAATAAGGCAAGTAAATGTACTGATGTTCCATCAGAGGTAACTGGGACATTGCAAATTAACAACAGTGGAAGAACAGACCACAGTTTATTTTCTTACTTTAAAGGACATCATTTTTGAATTTTTTAAAATTATAGAGAAGTATGTTTATTTTGTTATAGATGCTCGATTATTCAAAAGGCAACTTAGAAAAATTAGAAGCAGCCCACTTCATTATTTCTCACAATAATAACCAATATGAAACTTTTCCTGGAAGGCTAAAATCTTACCACAAAAAATTTAAGCAAAAAACATTTGGCAGTTCTGATATGACATACAGCCTAGTTTGAAATGGTATGTTTTTTAATTTTTACAAACATTTTCACTTTGAGATAATTTCACATGTGCTTAAAAGTTGAAAAAATATGCAAAGAACTCCCGTATACCTACTCTTTACCCAGGTTCACCAACTGTTAACATTTCATCACATTTGTTTATTCTAGATATGTATAGATACAGATATACACACACCTTTTTTTTTAATTATCTAAGAGCAAGTGGCAAACAGTACACCCCTTTACTTCTGTATACTAGTGTAGATTTCCTAAGCACAAAGTCATTCCTTAAAGGAGGAAATTTAGTGAGACTTTCTCACTGTGGTGAATGACATTCTGAGCCAGCTGATTTGGCCTTGTGACCAAGATGAGGGACTGTTTAACCTTTTATTCTTTTTTGATCTCCTTCTTTCTTTATGCCCAGTTATATTGTTCTTCATTTTGTTTACTCTCATAAATGTCAGATTTGTCCATGTGATTTATCAAGTTTATCAGAATATCAACTTGAACTAATTCTTCTTTAAATTAGTGGTAGATATTATTCTAGAATTTGACATTTTGTCAAAGTTATCTAATATATTGACATACCTTTTCTTTTCATATTATCTTGTATAGTTCTCTTTATCTCTATAAGGTCAGTAGCAATGTCCCCTCTTTCATTCTTAATTTTAGTAAGTTGAAACTTTCCTTCTCCCTGTAAGTGTAGCTAAAAGTTTGTCAATTTTGTTAATCTTTTAAAGACCCAACTCTTGGTTTTATTGATTATCATTTTTTCTACTTCTTTAATTTCTATTTCAATGTTTATTATATCCTTTCTTCTGCTTATTTTTCATCGTGGTCTCATCTCTGACTCACTGGTTATTTAGAAGTATGTTGTTAATTTTTATATATTTATGCTTTTCCCACATTTCTTTGTTTTTAATTTCTAATTTAATTCTATTTTGACCAAAGAACAATCATTTCCTACTCTTTGAGGTTTGGTTTTTGGCCTAGCATATGATCTATTTTAGGAAATATACCATGTGCACTTGAGAGTAATATTCTGCTTTTGGGTGTACTATACTGTCAATGTCTGTTAGATCTAGCTAGTTTATACTGTTAACGCAAATCCTCTATGTACTTGCTAGCAACTGTTTAGTTCTTTTTATTATTGAATTTATATATTATTTATTATTATTGAGATATTGATGGCTGCAACTATTACCATCTCCAACTATTGTTGTTGAATTCTGGCTTTAATTCAATCTGTTTTTGTTTCATGAATTTTGGAAATATTTTGATCAGTGCACTTAGGTTTATAACTTTTATACCTTCTCGAGGTACAGTCTCTTTAACATTACAGTGTGTCCTTCTTTATCTCTGATGTATCAGTCTGTTCTCACACTGCTAAAAAAGACATACATGCGACTGGGTAATTTATAAAGGAAAGAGGTTTGACATGGCTGGGGAGGCTTCACAATCATGGTGGAAGGCAAGGAGGAGCAAAGTCACATTTTACAGTCACGGTGGCAGGCAAGAGAGCATGCTTTATAAAAGCATCACATCTCACCGGATGTCATCACAAGAACAGTATGAAAAAAACCCACCCCCATGATTCAATTACCTCCTACTCGGTCCTTCTCACGTAGAGATTATTACAATTCAAGGTGAGATTCAGGTAGGGACACAGAGCCAAATCATATCATCCAATAATATTTTTGTTGTTTTAAGGTCTATTTTTCTGATATTAATTAGTTACTCTGGGTCCCTTGTGGGTGGTGTTTGCATAGTATATCTTTTTATATTTTTTATTTTAGGCTATTAGTATCTCTGAATCTGAAGTGTCTCTCCTGTAAATAGCACATAGTTGAATCTCTCTCTCTCTCTCTCTCTCTCTCTCTCTCTCTTTTTGAGATGGAGTCTCACTCTGTTGCTCAGAGTGGAGTGCAGTGGCATGACCTCAGCTCACTGTAACCTCCGCCTTCCTGATTCACGAGATTTTCCTGGCTCAGCCTACTGAGTACTAGCACCCACCACCATGCCCGGCTAATGTTTGCATTTTTAGGAGAGAGGAGGTTTCACCATATTGGCCAGGATGGTCTTGATCTCTGGATCTCGTAATCTGCCTGCCTCAGCCTCCCAAAGTGCTGGGATTACAGGCATGAGCCACCATGCCCAGCCACTTTTGCATCTTTTAAATAAGCTGAGGAAGAAGGGAGAACAAGTGTATATTTATAAAGTTTGTAATATTAATCTTCTTATCTGCCATTTCTGGTTCTCTTTATTTTTGTACATTTGAAAAACCATCTGGTGTCATTTTCTTGGTTGGTCCAATATAGATTTGCTTCTGCTCATATCCTTTGTGCCATTGTTGTTAAATATATTACATTTCTGTAGGTTATAAACCCAACAATATGTATGCATACATATCATTTTATGCAATTGCACTTTAAATTATTTAAGAAAGGAAAGTAGACAAAATATGCAATTATACTCTCTTTAACAATTATCTATAAAGTTCAATTTACTGACTTCTTTGTTTTTTCATACGGGGTTGAATGCATATCAGGAATCAGCCTGGAAATTTTTTGTTAGTGTTAATAAATATTAAGATGAATCTTCCAGCAACAGATTTTCTCAATACTTATGTGAAAATGTCTATTTTATCTTTATTTTTAGAATATAGTTTTACTAGACATAAGATTCTTGGTCTCTTATTTCCTTTCAGCACTTTTAATAAGTCATGCCACTTTCTTCTGCCTTCTATTACTTATGATGAGCAATCAGTGTTTAATCTTATTGGAGTTTCCTTTGTTTGGTAAATATATATATATGAATGTCAATTAGATCCTGTTGATAAATTGTGTTGTTGATATTTCTTATATCTATGCTAATTTTCTGACTAGTAATTTTGTCAGTTAGTGAGAAGGTTGAAATCCCCAACTCTAATGGTAGATTTGTCTATCTCTTCTTTCAGCATTATCTGCTTTTGCTGCATGTACCTACTTTGTGAATTTCTCACTTTTTATTAATTTATTTAGATAATTTAAAAAAATAAGATGCTTCATTTATTTAAGAAGTTTTAAGTTTACAGAAGAAAAGATGAGAGAAAAATACAGAGAGTTCCCATATACTTCCCTGCAGTTTCTCCTATTTTTTTAACATCTTACATCCATGAGCCAGTATTGATAACCCACTAATGACTAAAGCCCATAGTTTATATTAGGCTTCACTCTTTGTGTTTGACATTCCATGGGTTTCAACAAATATATAATGACATATATCAAAAATGACAGTGTTATACATAACAGTGTTACTATTCTGAAAATCTCTTGAGTTCCATTTACCCCTGTTCCCTTCCCTCAAACTCCTGGCAACCACTGAGTTATTTACTGTGTCTGTAATTTTTCATTTTCCAGAATGTCATATAGTTGGAATCATACAGAAATCAATTTGATTTCTTTCAACAGAGTTTGTAGTTTTTCCTCATATAAACCTTGTACATGTTTTACTAGATTTATGCCTAAATGTTTCTCTTTTTAATACGAATGTAAATGGTATTATGCTTTTAATTTCAAATTCCAATTGCTCACTGCTGCTATGTAAGAAATCAACCATCAGCAGCTAAACCTCACCAGCCAGATTGTGTGTCGAGCAGAAGGATCCTTAAAGATCTTCATTTCTGCTCCATATTGGCTGATTAACAAAACAGGGTTGCCGCTGATCTTCAGACAGGACGATGCCAAGACAGATCCTGCAGGCCAGGTTGAGGAGCATGAGCTGGCCTGGAGCCAGAGTCCTCTCTTATTCTGCTATGCTGACAAAGAGCAGCCAAAACTCTGCACGATGAGAATCGGAAGGGGGATTCATCCAGAAGGCATGCTGGGCTGGTGTCAGGGCTTCTCTCTAGATGGCGGTAGTGGTGTCTGAGCTTTGAAAGTCCTCCAGCAAGGAAACCGCCCGGGGCTGATCTGTAACATCGGTATTGATGTCAAGAAAGGCTGAGGTCGACGCACTGATACCTGCATGGTCATCTTTGCCCCCCATTACCTGTTAGATAATAAGTCATCTCACAAGCTTGCATTTGCACAGAGAGAATTTGCCAGGGGACAGGGAAAGGCCAATCCTGAAGGTTACATTTCCACCCTTCCTGGTTCCAGTGTGGTGTTCCACTGGCCTCGGAATGACTATGATCAGCTATTGTGCATCAGACTGATGGATGTTCCCGATTGTATTTGGTCTGGAGGCCTTGAAGTCAACAAGAATAATTCCTTCCATATCAACATGAGGGATACCTTGGGAAAATGCTTCTTCCTACGAGTGGAAATTACTCTCCGAGGAGCTATGTATAGAATCTCATTTAGTGACACAGATCAGTTACCTCCTCCTTTCCAAATTGACAACTTTTCTAAGGTCCCAGTTGTCTTTACTCAGCATGGCGTAGCTGAACCCAGGCTCCAGACTGAAGTGAAGCCCATGACTTCATTGGATTATGCCTGGGACGAACCCACCTTGCCACCTTTCATCACTCTGGCTGTTAGAGGGGCAGGGTCCTCCGAGATCAACTGCAACATGAATGATTTCCAGGATAATCGGCAGCTTTATTATGAAACTTTCATTTATATTGCTGCTACATACACATTCTCTGGCTTGCAGGAGGGAACAGGCAGGCCTGTGGCTTCCAACAAGGCCATTACCTGTGTGGAGCTTGTCTCGGATGTCTCACTCAAGGCAAAAAGAGTCATTTTAAAGAAGAAGGAACCAGGAAAGCGTTCTCAGCTATGGAGGATGACAGGAACAGGAATGCTGGCCCATGAGGGCTCTTCAGTTCCTCACAACCCCAATAAGCCCTCAGCTGCCCGCTCCACCAAGGAGTCTGCCATCTTAGATATTGCTGGTCTTGCTGCAGAGAGTGACAACAGATATAAGCCGCTGATGCTAAGAAAGCCTGACTGCAGGCGAAGTACAACTCAGACGTGGAGTTTCCGAGAAGGAAAACTGACATGTGGGTTACATGGGTTGGTCGTCCAGGCCAAAGGAGGACTTTCTGGTTTGTTTGATGGCACTGAAGTTGTTCTGGGTCCTGACACTTCCATGGAGCTTTTGGGGCCAGTTCCACCTGAACAACAATTTATTAATCAATAAATGAGACCTGGTTCTGGAATGTTATCCACCAGAGTCATCCCAGATGGACCAACTAGTGCACTCCAGATTACAGATTTCTGCCAACGGAAAAGTGACTGTTCATATGAAGTGGATGAACTTCCTGTCACTGAACAAGAGCTGCAAAAATTAAAGAATCCAGATACAGAACAGGAATTGGAAGTGCTTGTGAGGTTAGAAGGTGGAATAGGGTTGTCCTTAATTAATAAAGTCCCAGAAGAACTGGTCTTTGTACTATACACAGCTGGCAACCAGTCACATGCTTGAACTCAGCATACAAGACATACAGGTGGACAATCAGCTCATCGGCACCACGCAGCCTTTCATGCTCTATCTATGTGACTACCCTGAGCCATGACAATGAGGTCATTGAGACTGGACCAGCCGTGCAAGTCAACGCAGTGAAGTTCCCCAGTAAGAGTGCGCTGAGCAACATCTACAAGCATCTGATGATCACAGCTCAGAGATTCACAGTGCAAATTGAGGAGACACAGCTCCTCAAGCTGCTAAGTTTCTTTGGCTACGATCAAGCAGAATCAGAGGTTGAAAGATATGATGAAAACCTCCATGAAAAGACAGTCCAGCAAGGTGGAACACCAGTTCGATACTACTTTGAAAATCTCAAAATCAGCATTCCTCAGATCAAGCTAGTGTGTTCACCTCCAACAAGCTGCCACTGGATCTTAAGGCCCTAAAAAACACCTTGGGATTTCCTTTGATACGGTTTGAAGATACTGTGATTAATGTAGATCCATTCACTTGGGTACAACCCTATGAGACCAAGGAGTTCATCATCAATGATGTCCTCAAACATTTCCAGGAGGAACTCCTCAGCCAGGCAGCTCGAATCCTGGGATCAGTGGATTTTCTTAGCAATCCTGTGGGGATTTTGAATGATGTTTCTGAAGGGGTTACTGGACTGATAAAGTATGGAAATGTTGGGGACCTCATCAGAAATGTTACACACGGAGTATCAAACTCTGCAGCCAAGTTTGCTCGGATATTATCAGACGGCTTAGGGAAGATGATGGACAATTGGCATCAGTCAGAGCGGGAGTACATCAGGTACACGCAGCCACACGTGGCGAACACCTCGTAGCCGGCATCCACGGCCTGGCTCATGGTATCATTGGTGGATTGACCAGTGTTATAACTTCAACAGTGGAAGGTGTGAAAACAGAAGGGGGTGTCAGCGGTTTCATATCCGGCCTTGGAAAAGGGCTTGTTGGCACTGTAACCGACAGTGGCAGGCGCCCTGGATTTTGCATCAGAAACAGCCCAGGCAGTGAGAGACACAGCCACACTCAGTGGCCCCAGGACTCAAGCACAGAGGGTTCGGAAACCGCGGTGCTGCACAGGGCCCCAGGGGCTGCTTCCCCGATATTCAGAGAGCCAGGCAGAAGGACAGGAGCAGTTCTTCAAACTCACGGACAACAAGCAGGACGAATTCTTCATCGCCGTGGAGACCATTGACAGCTACCACGTGCTCATCGCCTCCAAAGCGGTTTACTTCCTGAAAAGTGGAGACTACGTGGACCAAGACGTCATTTTCCTAGAAGTCAAATACAATGACCTCTACCACTGCCTTGTCTCCAATGACCATGGGAAAGTGTATGTGCAGGTGACCAAGAAGGCCATGAGCACGAGCAGTGGAGTGTCCATCCCAGGCCCTTCCCACCAGAGGCCGATGGTCCACGTGAAATCTGAGGTCCTCGCTGTCAAGTTGTCACAAGAAATAAACTACGCAAAGAGCCTCTACTATGAACAGCAGCTTAGGCTGAGACTCAGCGAAAACCGAGAACAGCTGGAGCTGGACTCCCGAAGCCCCGGAGGAAAGAGGCCGGGCTCCAGGCTGACCTTAGATGCGGAGCCAGAGTCGGCTCTAGGGAATTTGTCAAGGAATGAGGGAAAGTAAATGCTCATGAGGAAAAATACAAATGGAAATCACATTAATTTGTGAGGCAGGGAGTTATTTTAGATTATGGAAAGTAATTTTTTAAATTATTGGTTAAATAACATTTAAAAACATGTACTGAGACGAATCTAATTTTTAGATTGCCCTGTATTTTGTTAACATGTATATATGTACAACTGTGTGTTTGTAAATATATAGGAACATTTCTGAACAGGGCCTGTGCTGTGTGTAAAGGTTTGTTAACAGTAAAGTAATATAAAATTATATGGGATCTTCTATTGCACTAATTCTACATGTCGAATTCAGGATACTGTCTATAGAAAGTCATTCTTAAAAGTTAAAAAAGAAAGAAAGAAAGAAATCAACTGACTTTTGTATGTTAACATTATATTTTACAACCTTACTATAACCGTGTGTTAGTTCCACAAATGTTTTTGGTTGATTTTGGGGGATTTTTTACGTAACCAATCATGCCATCTGTGAGCAGAGAGTCTTATTTCTGTCTTCCAAATCTGTTTAATTTTTACGTTTGTTTCATGTTTTATCGCATTAGCTAGGACCCTCAGGATGATGCTGAGTAGGAGAGGTGAGGGCAGGCATTCTTGCCTTGTTTTTCATCTTACCAGGAAGGCATCTAATTTCTCACCAGGGAATATGATGTTGGCTGTAGGTTTCCTAGAGATGTCCTTCGCCACTTTGAGGAGGTTTCCCTCTGCTCCTAATTTGCTCAGAGTTCTCATTAATGGATGTTAGATTTTGTCAAATGTTCTTCTGCATTTGTTGATACGATCCTGCTTTTTTTCTATATCCTGTTAATGTGATGAATTACATAAGCTTCTTTTCAAATGTTAAACTAGCCTTGCATAATTAGTATGAGGTCCACTTCATCCTCTTTTTATACATTATTGAATCCAATTTGCTAATGCTTTGTCCAGGATTTTTGCATCTATCTTAATGAAAGATAGTATTCTATGGTTTTTCTTTCTTGTAGTGTCTTTGGTTTTGGTCTGTGGTAATAATGACCTCATAGAATAACTTGGGAAGCATTCTCTATGCTTCTATTTTTAGAAAGAGATTCTGGAGAACTGCTATAATTTTTCTTTGTCAGTGTTAGAATTTACCAAGGAAACTCTTTTGGGCCTGGTACTTCCTATTTTATCAGCTATTAATTATTGATTCAATTCCTTTAACAGATATAGGACAACTCCGATTGTCTTTTTCTCCTGGTGTGAATTTTGGTAGATTGTATATTTCAAAGAAGTGCTGTATTGTATGTGGGCTATCAAATCTGTGAAATTGTTCATAATATTTTTTTAATGTCTATTAAATCTATACAGGTGGTTCTTCTTTAAATGTTGATATTAATAATTTGTATTTTATCTCTTACTTTGGATAGAGATTTATCAATTTTATTTATCTTTTCAAAGAACCAGATTTTTATTTTGTTGACTTTTTTATATTGATTTTCTGTCTTCGATTTTATTGATTCTTGTGTTTTTCTTCTGCTTATTTTGAGTCTAATTGGTTCTTCCTTTACTGGTTTCCTAAGGTGAAAAGTTAGATTATTGATTTTAGACCCTCCTTGGGGTGTAACATTTGCATTCAATGCTATAATTTTGATCAAAGCATTGTTTTACTGCATTTCACATACTTTTGTGAGATGTCCTTGAAAATGAAAAGCTTTGACCACCTTCTGTAACTTACTGCAGTATCTTTTCCATCTCTTTAATTTTTATCTCTATGGGTGTTCAAATTTAAAGTTGTATTTTCATTTTCATTTAGTTCAAAATATTTTAAAACTTCTCTCAAGACTTCTTTGATCCATTTTTTATTTAGAAGTGTAATGTTAAGAATTCATGTATTTTAACGTTTTCCAGCTATCTTTCCGAAGTTGATTTCTAGCTTAATTTCACTGTGGCCATAGAGCATAATTTGCATGACTTACATGCTTTTAAACAAGTGCTTTTTAATGGCCTAGACAATGATGTGTCTTTGTGAACATTCCATGGGAGCTTGAGAAGCATGTGTATTCTGCTGTTGTTGGGTGAATTATTCCATACATGTAAATTGGATGCAGTTGATTAATATCACTGTTGACTTGAATTATAATATGTCTTTCCTAATTTTTTGCCTGCTTAATCTGCTAATTACCAGTAGAAAGATGTTAAAGTCTGAAAGTACAGTAGAAAATTCATCTATTTTTCTTTGAAGTTTTATTAGTTTTTGCCTAACATATAGTGATGCTCCATTTTTAGGTGCATAAACACTAAGGATTCTTACATCTTCTTGGAGAGCTGACTCCATATTTATTATGTAATTAGTTTATTTTTGATAATTCTTCTTGTTCTGAAGTGGCACGTGTCATTAATAGAGCTACTCCTGTTTTCTTTGGATTACTGTTAGAGTATTATTGTCACCAGTGGGCTGTTTCAGGCTCTTGACTTTGCTACACAAAAGCATTTGAGAGCGAGTCCAGAAAAAAGTAAGCAAAAGAATTTATTGCAAAGCAAAAGTACACTCTGACAGCTGATCAGAGCTGGCTACTCAAAGGTGAGACAGCCCTATCTGATGCTGGGGGATCGCCCTTTATGGGAGATTTACATGATCATTCATGGAGGAGTGTGAAGGGGTGCTGCTGATGGGCATGTTATGGGTGATTCCCTGGCTGCACATGTGCTGTGGTTGCGCCTGCTAGTATTACATTGCATGTCTCATTAGCATCTTAAATCTCCACCCAGAGGCATTTTTCTTTTACTATTATAGTGAGTACAGGTCAGCGCAAGGACACTAATCATGGGTTTCTGTGCTTGTGTGAATTTGGGAATTCTACATTCTATTCTTCTACCTCCTTGCTGCAGGATGTCCTAACCATGACCCCGTGATGTGGTTTCTGCATTGCCAGGTAGTTTGTTCTCTCCATCTATTTAGCAACTTTGTTCTCCTTTAAGGATGGCTATGACCATCCTTTGTAACTTACTTCAGTATCTTTTCCATCACCTTAATTTTTATCTCTATGGGTCTTCAAATTTAAAGTGGGTTTATTATAGACAGCTGGGTCTTGTTTTTTGATTTACTATGACAGTCTCTGTATTCTAATCAGTGCGTTTTAGACCATTGACAGTTAAGCTGATTACTGATACAGCTGAATTAATATGTACCATATTTGTTAATTATTTTTCCTTGCTGCCCTTGCTCTTTGCTCTTATTTTTGAGTAGCATACTTTTTCTACTTTTTGTGTTTTAATTGAGCAGGAACAATGGTTGAATATATGGGGAGATATGCTCTCATACAAGAATTTGTGATAAAGGATTAATTTTCTTAATTACTATACTTTACAAGAATCTTTAAAGCAAAATTAGGATTGTCCTCATTCTCCAGATACTGGGATATCTGGACACTCCAAAGTCTGTCTCTGTTTTAGTAAGGATCATTAATTTGTTCCCTTATTGATAAACATCTAGAAGCTAGGAATGCCTAATTTTCTGAGAATGCATGCCAGCAAGTCTCAGCCTCATTTTCCTAGCCCTCACTCAAAATGGAATCACTCTGGTTCAAATGCCTCTAACACTTACATTGTCAAATAAATTACTGACTCCTTCTTTCTCTCTTCTTTTCGGGAACTTCTATAATGAATAACTGGTCTATTCAATGGTGACCCTTAAATACCTTAAGCTCTGTTCATTTTTTTTTTCTTTTTGGTCCTTAGACTAAAAAATTTTAAATAATCTTTCTTCTTTTTGTTGCTTCTTTCTTCTGCCTGCTAAAGTCTTCTGTTAAAGCTGTCTCATGAATTTTTTAGTTCACATTTGTATTTCTCATCTCCAGAATTTCTTGTTGGTCCTTTTAAAACAATTTCTATCTCTTTGTTGATATTCTCCTTTTGTTCACATATTATTTTTTCACTTTTTAGTTAATGTCTATGTTTTTATTTAGTTCCTTGAGCATATTTAAGATAGTTGTTTTTAAAGTCTTTGTCTAGTATTTCAAATGTTGATGTTTGTTCAGGGTTGGTTTGTTCTGTAAACCTTGAGCTGTTTTTCATAGTTCCTAAAAATCAGTTTAACCAATTTTTAGTTGTTTCTTTAATGTTTCCATGAGGGACAAAGTTCTGAAGTTTTCTAATCTGCCATTTTTCTGACATCACTGAGATTAATTTTATGCTCCAGTATATATATATATATATATATATATATATATATATATATATATTTGATAAATATTCTGTGTACATTTAAAAAGAATGTGTATCTGACAGTTGGTATTTGAAATTTTCTATACATGTTGATTAAGTCAAGTGTTGCTCAAACCTTTTACATTCTTACTGAATTTTTGTTTACTTGCTGTATCAATTATTGGTGTAGGGGTATGAAAATATCTGACTTGGTCAGGTGTGGTGGCTTACACCTGTAATCCCAGCACTTTGGGAGGCCGAGGTAGGTGGATCACCTGAGGTCAGGAGTTTGAGACCAGCCTGACCAGCAGGGTGAAACCCCATGTCTACCAAAAAAACAAAAAATAGTGGAGTGTGGTGGCAGGTGCCTGTAATTCCAGCTGCTGGGGAGGCTGAGGTAAAAGAATGGCTTAAACCTGGGAGGCAGAGAATGCAGTGAGCCGAGATCATGTCATTGCACTCCAGCCTGGCCAACAAGAGTGAAACTCCATTAAAAAAAAAACACAAAAACACAAACTGACTATAATTGTGGAAAGAAAAATGTTTTTCTTATAATCTTTATATTTTGCTTCATGTATTTTGAAGGTACATGATTTGTTATATCAACATTTAGGGTTTTTTATTCCTCTTGATAAACTGACCCTTTAATTATTTTGAGATGACTTTCTTTATCTCTAGTAATATCCATTCAACTGAAATTTACTTTGTGTGATGCTACTATAGTCACTTCAGATTTCTTTGCAGTAGTGTTTAGTATATATTTTTACATCTTTTTACTTAGCTTACTTTTTAAATTTACTCATTTTCAGTATTTACTCACCTTACTTA